GACGCCCTCCATTTTGTCACCGCCGACTCGCGCAGATTACCCCCAGCGCCATCTTCTTACTCTGTATGCTAATGAAACAGAGAGAGAGTAATGAGAAAAGAGTGACAGATTAAAAAAAAGAAAAAAGGGGAAAAAGAAAGGCACAGGAAACGGTGCATGAAAGAACATGTGAGACAAAGTGTTTGAATGTGTGTGACAGAGGAAAATAAGAGGAAGAGAACAAAAATCTGATGTCTGTGAGCATGCACAGTGTGAGGAAGATGAAATACAGTAGGTGAAAGAGAAAAGGGGAGACTAATGAAGGTCATCAGCTGCCATATTGGGGCTCCCTTGGATAGAAATTTAGGGAGAGAGGTAGGGGAGGCTCCGGTGAGTGTGATGAATATGATTATAGGTGTGTAAGTGTGTGTGACAGTAATGGATTCAGGGTGTGGAATAGAAAAGGGATATAGGTCCCTGAGAGTGTTGAATTTCAAACAGGGACACCGACCGGTCGCCGCTGCGCCACTGATCGCTCTTCGTGTGTGTGTGTGTGTGTGTGTGTATGTGTGTATGTGTGTATGTGTGTATGTGTGTGTGTGTGTGTGTGTGTGTGTGTGTGTGTGTGTGTGTGTGTGGCTTTGTGCCGAGGTAGTGAGTGAGATGCAGTCCGGCCCGCTGTAATTTATGTGAAAACTAACAGAGCTGTCCCGAGATGTCATTAGCTAAAAGGCAAATTTCATTATTTCGCTAATATGGAGCATGATGACTCTTTTTGATGTCTCCCTCCTTGTACTCTTCTTCCTTCTCCCTCCCTTTCTCCCTCCCCGCCTCCTCCTTTTTGTCTATTTACCCCTCCCTTCCTCTCTCCCCCTCACCCGTATTCAGAGGACCTCCTTATTCAGAGCAGCTTTCCCTTTCAAGGTTGAAGAAAATGGCCATGAGTCTGTGTATGTGTGTGTGGGGACAGTGAGAGTGGTTCGTGGTTCTGCTGGATGAGGTGATGGTGACTCACCTTCAGCCCACATCCACACCTTGCACTCCTTCCTCCTCCCTTTGATGTGTGTTTGAGTCGATGGCTAATCAGGTAGCATCAGGCCTAGTCCTCATTTCCCCTTCACCCCGGCCCCATTAGGGAGCAGGCTTTCTGGAGCAGGCCGATAAGGACAATATGCTCTTCTTCCACACTGTCTCTTCCATATATACCCCTAAATCTCCCACTACTCTCTCATTCTGCTCTTTTCCCCCATCTTTCCCTTGGCTAAATCTCCAGTGTCTCCCTGGTTCCTCCATCTCTCATTCTGCCCCGTCACACGCTTCTCTCACCTTTCACTTTTCTTTCCGTCTCACCACCTTTTCCTAAATGTCCCATTACTCTCTTTCTCGTCTTTTCCCCATCTTAACCTCTCCACTCTCTAAATCACACACTGCACCTCCTTCACTTCCTTCCTTTTGTCGGTGTCCCTCAGCATCCATCTCTCACTCGCCTTTCATTCTTAAACTTAGTCCCTAAATCCCCGGCCACGTTCCTTCAGCCTCTTCCCTCTTCATGCACCCCTTTTTCACGACTTCACGACTTCCTTTCCTCTTTCCCTGTAGTGCTTAACTCTTCTCCTCTCCCTCAAATTGTCTCGTAATCTCTTTTTCCCCCTCTAGGTTTCCTACTGTCTGAAACCGTACCATTTCCCCCCATTTCTCTTACCCCTTCCTTTACTCCCTGAGGAAACACTTCAGCGTTTGTGAGAAATTGGACTGATGGTCATTTTATCCATTAAGAGATGGAAACAGACACAAAGATCGGTCATATGTCCCCTACATAAGGCATTAAGATAAACACAATTCATTCACAACTGACATTTAGTATAAAGAGTAATCTTTAAATAAGAAAATAAATGAATTCATTCAAACAATATTTCAATGGGCACTACATGTAGGATCCTGTCTATTAACGATGTACTATTTCAGCCCCTTTAACCAGACAATGAGAGTTAATAAGCAGAACGAAATACATTTTCCAGTGAGAGCAAAGGAACATCCAATAGCACAAATTAAATATACTCATATTATTAATTAATATCTTTTCAAGGTAGAGCTTTGCTTCTGTTTACTCGTGAACATTACATTTTACCTACACTATAGCAAGTAATCTGTATAACTCAAGTTTAAACATTGCTTTCAGAGACATTTATTTATCAAACTGATCTCTTTGAATCTCTGCCTACAGATTACAAACCCTGTGTATTGACAGAATGTCAGCACATTGCTATAGTGTCGCTGTATAGTCTATAAAAAGCACACACATAACATAAACCCACCTTTTTAAAAGTGTGTGAATAACTGTCTTTTTTCCTATTCTTTTGTTTGAGTGACCTAACTTTTAGAAGAGACATGTTGTCACTTTCTCTCTCTCTCTCAGCCTCTGTTGTCACTTTCTGCTCGTGCTGTGACAGAACTGCCTCTCCCACTAAAAGTAATCGTAACGGTGGCAGAACACTGGGCTACACCTGGCATTTCTCACATGATAAACAGGCTGTTCCACATGTTGTATATGTAGGTTGTCATGATATGACAATTTTAAAAATGGCTGTTTATATTTATATATATTCCTGAAGGGCAAGTCTTTTTGGTGAGGTCCCTGTTGTCTTTGAGTTATTCTCAGTTGCACAAAGACTGATGCATTTTACTTTGAAACTATGCAACAACAGTATGTGTGGAAAAGTTAGAATACGGGCTGCACAATTAATTGAGATTTAATCGTAATGGACAAGTGCAATATTTGGTAAAATAAATGATGGTGAAAATTGTATTCTATATTAGTTATTGTGGGACTGCAGGCAAATCCGAGCCGACAAATGGTTTTCTTCAGAATCATTTTTTCCAAATCATGCAGCCATGATTAATATGATAACAAATATAAAATTGCAACTACTTATTATTGTGGCATTAAAGTGGTCCAGTGGCTACACAGAGCCAAAGCTCTTCTCCCTTACCACTATTTAGTTGCTGTTACAATAAAAAAAAAACTTTTAGTGCAAGTAAATTACTAATTCATAGAAGTGCAATATAACAACATAAAATGGCCTCTACGGTCTATTCCCACACATCTGGTACTCTAAGTTTGTTAAACTCAAACACTAAGAATCATTTGCAAACACTAGCTTTTGCAAAGCTGCTTACAACATGGGCTGTGAACTTTTGTGTGATTATTAGCATGGGCAACCACACAGACCTACAGGGAAGCCCAGACTGGACACACACACACACACACACACACACCATTTGTATCTTGAAATAGGGATCAGATAATGCCTCGTAAACACTGTAATGAGTGCCGTGATGATCAACAGCAACTCTGTCTCTCTCTCTGCGTCTCTCTCTCGTGGTTGAGGGCCCAAACTGTTCACAAACAGCCTGACGCTAATTTGGGATAAAAAGGAAAAATACTGACTTGCAATATTTTTCTGGTTTACCACAGATTTCTAAGGGACCACACATACAGCAGTGAAGTACCACCCACTCTCATTTGATGAAATTAGGTTAGGAAGGAGCCTGTTCGGTGCTTTCTGCCTTTTGTGAGAGAAGAGCTCATGGTGTGGAAATTAAGAGCCTGTATGTGCTTGTTGTGTGTGTGAATGTGTGTGTGTGTGTGTGTGTGTGTGTGTGAGAGGCTGACTAATCCCTCCACAGAGCTGAAACGAGTTAAAAACACATCAAAGGGAAGCTTAACCTCTGTGAAACCTCACCGGGTTTTTCAAGAACAACAAATGATCATTCTCCTCATTGTTTCCAGGGGGACTCTTTTCACCGCTGCGCTGCTGACTTTTCCCTCAGTCCTCTGAGTTTTCAAAAAGCCTGTGGTTTCATTTTTAATGACTGTGCCGTTTGTGTGTGTGTGTGTGTTACTGTTTGTGAAAGAATATAAATGTGTGAGTGGGTGCACGCTTGTGTGTTTGCACATAAAAGACGGGTATTTTTGAGTGTGACATGACAAATGAGGAAGCTAACAAGGACATGCAGTTCTACTCGCAATCATTAAAATGTAAGACATCCTGACCGGCTATACAACAGCTATGTATGTACTGAACCAATGAAGGATAAAAAAAAGGGGGTTTGGGAGACAGGTGGGGGGAGAAGGAAAGGGAAGATGGCAAGATGAGGCCTGAGACCTGCTTTCCCCAGAATTCTCATTATCACAGTATAATAGTGCTCTTGCTGATCAGATATTTGCATGCTTCTTTTCTGTTGTTGCTCGTTGGAACAGTGCTCTTGTTCAAGTATATATGTTCGACTAGAAGCAAAAAAGAGCCTAGGGGTCATTTGGAGATGCCCATGGAAAGAAGGCAAGACAAAAATGTCGTTGTATCTTCGTCAAAACCTCATTTAAAGGGGACCTATCATGCAAAATGCACTTTTGTACGTCTTTTCTACATGAATATGTGTCCCCGGTGTTCCAGGGAACTCACCAAGTGTCAGAAAACACAACCCTCTCTATTTTCCTCCATACCCAAATCTCTAAAAAAGGGGCTGTAACGGATCTGATAAAAACTGATCCAGATTTGAACACTGCCCTGACGTCAGGACGGTGGCGCTACGGCTATTGGGCCAACTCCACCAATCAGGGGAGACAACCACGGCCATTGCCGTTCGAAAGCGCTGGAGACGTTGTAGTACATATGCCAGGCCTGTAGATGGTGCTGTTGCTCACAGAATCAACCCTTGCTAAAACAGATCTAAAAAATGTCAAATTGAGCAAAATGAGGCATGGCTAAAATGCATGATCTGTTTGGTATTTTGAAAAAAAAAAAGTATAAATATGCCTTATATAGGTATGGTCCTACACTATATTATTCAAATATAGCATGATAGGTCCACTTTAAATAATTTCGTTTTTTAGCTGGTTGCAAATATGTCATAATCTTTGTGTCTCAGCTGGGATTCTGCAATGTGAACATGTAGCATTGCTATCCTGTTGATTTATTGGCAGTATTATGAAATTAAGTTGGGGAAGAATGTACGCCCGCTTCCAAATGTATCTGTTTTTATTTTCCCGTCGTTACAACACATGGGCTCCAAACACAGCGACATGAGAGAAATCAATAAATAGTTTTTGAAGTATAAAACAAAATATAAAACAACATCTACTACAATAAACAACTAATATACTCAATCACTCACGAGCACACACTCTCCCACAGGCACTTTCAGAGAGGCAGAAGCACGCAGACACATAATGTACTCTCATAACGACGTACGGCCACATTCACCGCAATAGATGCAGGACACATGGCGCACAGCTGCAGAGTAATCAGAGACTGTGGTACAGCCATCCACATCTGAGCTGCGTCTGTGGATACTGATGATGTGCCCTAAACTCTCCTCCAGTGTAAGACACATTCATCAACACTTGAGTCTTATTAGTTCATTTTAGTTGAAATAAATTGATTATAGTTCATCAGGACTGTCTGGATTTACAAATAAGTGCAGTGAAGATGTATGTTAGTGCTTAGGTGCTACAGTTTTGTTGCAATTGAAGATTATTTAAAGAAATAACCTACCGTTATTAGCTGCAATTGCTCATATAATTGCAGCATTTTAAGGTTGGCATCACTTCAGTATCAGATTTAAAATGTTAAGAGGTGTGAATGTTCTATGAAATAATCTCTTCATGGCACAGCAGTAGAGTTTGATTTTTGACGATTTGAGGGAATTCCATCATCATTCCCCGGTTCTGGATCGCCCCTCAGGCAAAAAGCACCCTGGGACTTGACTTTGACCTGCAGGACATTAACCTCAAACAGAGCGCACTCCCTGGTGAGGAGCTGCAGGTCAAGAGGTCTCCACAGGTCAAAGTCTTCAGGGGGCTTCATTTGTTCAGATCCCTGCTTGTCCTGCCAGACCAAGCGCCATGCAGAGAGGCAGGGGGCCTGATCCTGAACCCCCAAAGCCTGGGACTCACCTGCTCTCCCTAGCCTTAGTCTGGGTTAGAATCCCATCAATGTCCCCCTGTCACTGTTTTCCAGGCCCAAAGGAGGAGGAGGCGGAGGGAGGTGGACTGAGGAGGACTGCTGGGAGGGGGGAGGAGGAGGCAGGGCCACTTGTCTACGCTTAGACTTCTCCTCCTCCAGCTGCCTACGCAACCGCTTGTTCTCCCTGCTGAGGGAGGTTAGCTGGAGAGAGAAAAAAAAAGACCTTCAGAGAGACATATGGAGGAGACATGTTCAAACAGAAAGAATAATAATAGTTGTGAAAGGAAATCTTCATGTGTGACTTTAGAAACAGAGTGACGAAGGACGACACTTTTTGAAGTTTCAACATGTAAACATCCCACTTCATCTAAATCAACCAAATCACAAAACTTAATTTGGAAGATACCAATAAATATCAACCATCAGAAGTCAACAGCTATCAAGTTGATGAAGAAGCTGACATCCCATTATGTGCTTAATTCATCTTTCACAGTTGCTTTCATGCCTGTTGAAACGGAAATGCCGGTGGAAAATTGCGCGGAGGTTTTTCAGGAGAGTATTGTGTTCACAGTTTGAAACGGTTTGCAAGTAGGAGTCATGCGACGGTGTAAATTTCTACATGAAAACAACCAATTTGAGCGATCATTAGAGGTCGATTTGACACAAAATCATCCGTGACTCAAAACAAATCGCACGTCGTCAGAACATGATTGGGCTCCCCGAAACACAATTACAGACTAGCTAAATTGAGGGTGTTTCATTTTATTTGACAGGGACATTTGGTTAAAGGCAGGGAGGTGTGCGAGTCAAAACTTGTCTTTGAAGGCAAACATTTTTTTACATGCGTGGTAATTATATGCAAATGTGCCAGTCTAAAAATTGTAATAAGGCAGATAAAAGCAAAAAAAAGATTTGAAATCATGTATTTTTAGCTATGAGGAAGAGAAAAATAAGAAATTATAGGATAAAGGGACAAAAAGACACGTCGGGTAATGACAGTTGCACTTATTCACATCTGTTTTTTAGTGTGTGTCTTTTGCGGTTCAAGAATGATGTCACAACGACATGTCTGGCCATGTGTGTGTGTGTGTGTGTGTGTGTGTGTGTGTGTGTGTGTGCGCATATGAGTGTGTGTGATAGAGGGAGAGAAAAACACAAACGGAGATGAGACAGACACATTTCCGGATGGTTCTGCTAACATTACCCTTTCCAGACACCATGCGCACACACACACACACACATACACACACGCTCAATAAATCTGAGCAAATGTATTACATCTCATGACTAGAAATAGCAAAGTCTTAGGCTTAACCCTCAAAGAGCCAATGACATGTCGATGTGTCAAAAACTATCCTAAGACGCTTAAAGAGTATTTACTATCTTCAACAGGCAAACATCCTCCAACGTGTTCATTTATGCTTCGCCAAGAGCAATAGAGTTTCCACATGAAAAACACTGAGTTTGACATTTGTAATTAACCGTATATTCAAGTGGACCTGTTTAATTTTCCCCATCTTTGGTCGCTCTGGATGCTTTTCTAATTGCAGAGGAGGGGGGTGAAATTAAAAATCACAGCTTGTCTCTTCAACCTTCACATATTGCGGGTGAACTGGTGGGCAAACGTTTGGATGAAAAGGAAGTGTGTTAGTGGGGGGAGAGGGGAAGAAAGAGACAGGCAGAAAGACACGGAGGGGGGGTGTGTGTTCTATTGCTGGTGCGTGAGTGTGTTTGCACTTGGAAAGCTGGGTTTCCATTCAAATATTTTTAAATAAATTGTGAAAATTACTGAGCTAGAAAAACTAAATAAAGTGATTTATTTTTCATTGGCACAAAAGTTTTGAAATGTGATTTGTTTTTAACAGTTGTTCCTCCTGGTTCATAAAGCATATACATCATCATGCAAATCTGTGTTAAACCTATTGAGCCAACTTATTCCAATTCATTATCACAAGTGTTAGTCTTCTGTTTGCATTTATAGAGAGGTGCAGTGACGCGTCCTAAAACCCGGAAGTAAGCTGCGCATGGGTTCCCTCGACAAATAAGCAATGGGGTTTCTCCATAGGATTTTGGATAATAGCTCGAAATAAGGTCTGTGGAAAACGAAACTGTTAGATAAATACACATTTTGTTCAGCCGGATAATATCCACATGTCTTCCCTACTTTTATAATTTTCAAATCATAAATCTAATCGATAGATTTATGAAAATTATAAAAGTGCATTTATCTAACAGGTTTGTTTTCCACAGACCTATTATCCAAAATCCTATGGAGAAATCCCATTGCTTTTTTGTCGAGGGAACCCATGCGCAGCTTGCTTCCGGGTTTTAGGACGCGTCACTGCACCTCTCTATTGTTAGTTTGCCTTGTTTGCACAAAGAAAAACATTATTGTTTTTATTCATTTAAAACGATTCGATGGCAGTACATAATGAAACAATTTAATTAAACACCAATAATTCAATGTGAGTAGTCGTCATTCATTTTTCTTGCAAAGATTGAGCATGGAACCATCCATATATTAAAAAATAGCATTAAAAAACACTTATCTCAACATTTTGGATGAAATAACCCCTCATTCATAAATAAAATCATTGAGAAATGGGTGAAAATGTACCTGTAAAGGTTAAAAGGAGTCTTGTCATTTGACCTGCCCATTGAAAACAACACATTGAAATGTGGAAATACTCTGCAATACCTGTCGATCCATCTCTCCCTGCAGCTGCTTGCAGAGGAGATAATGCATGTCTTTTTTCATCTTTGCATGAAAGCATGAAATAACCTGGACACGAGCTGGTGCTAAAGCACAATAACAGCCCGCTTAATGCTAATCAAGTCTTGAAAGATTCTCAGTTTTTCCCTCTGATGTTCATCTTCATCCCAGTTGATGGAAAATCACTTTACTCGGATCTAATTTCGTGTGACATTTCAAAAGTTTGCATGAAATTAGCTTGACAGTCGGATGTAAATCATGCGTGCGCGCGTTGTTCGCCGTGTGTTAATGTGTGCCTGTGGGCGAGTGGGGAAGCAACAGCACTGAACCCGTTTGTGACTATGAGTAAATGAGACCGATCCAAAGCAGAGACACAGGCCTGATTTATAACCAGACGCTGCTCACATAGATAAACTGAGACATTCCATTCAGCTTCTTCTTTGATATCTGTGAGTGTGAGTCCAGTGAAGGGAATAGCCTTGTGTAAATGAACCGTCTACACCCTATCCCTTTCCAAGTGTGCTTGTATGTTTGTAGGATGTTGGATCGATGTGTGTAATGATTCACACTAGAGATTAAGAGGTGCTATTACACACCTGACCTGTTAAACAACACTCCTCTCTTCCTCTGCGTCATAAGTGCAGCTAACGCTCTTTTCTTTTCCCTGAAACAACATTACAAACTTCAACAAGTACCAGCTTTTGTCGTAGCCCGTCAATCAGCGGGCCATCGTGCAAACTAACAAAAGTCGGGTGAGCCGTTCCCCAGGCCCTGGAGTTTTGGAGAACTGAGGGGGCTGAGGAGTACTTTTGATTTGTCTCTCCTTTAGTGATTTGTTGACTCTTGTGAAGTAAAAAAAAAAAAAGAATGTCAGCTTTTCCTTAGAATATTCCTCTGTGTTTTTTTCCCCACACATTGTTTTATCACAGCGGGCCATTTCCCTATGCTGTCACAGAGAGATCAGCGCGGCTGTATTGATATACATCCCTCTCTCAGTCTCATGAAAGGGAAATCATTTACCAGTGGAAAGAAACGTCACTGCTTTTTCCCCGATACCATTTGTCCCTCCTTCCCTACACGCCTCCCCCCCCCCCCACCCCGCTGCTGACTTTTAACTTTTATCGTAGGAAGAGGAAATGGATGTCTGTGCGCGCCTGTGTGTAAGTGCGCGCGTGTGCGTTTGAAGTTGGACGCATGAAAGCTTCCTCTTCTGTGAGAGCTCAACAGCAGGTGGGCCGGTGGGTGGGTGTGTGTTTGTATCTGTGAAAGGACTGTCAGGACCTGGTGTGTGTGTGTGCGTGTGCGTGCGTGTGTGTGTGTGTGTACTCTTACTTGTTGATTTAGCATTCCAACGGCCTCCAGGTTGCTTCGCAGTCTGGTCTGCATGTCCTCCATTTTGCTGAGATTGTGAGCAACGCAGCCCTGCTTTTCTAAGCTGAAACACAAGCATGTGCACAAACATGAATTAGAAATACATTTTTTAAGAGAATCTAAGTATTTGTAGTAGTTTAAGAGAAATTAATCGTAAAAATGTAGCTTTCTGTAACTATCTGAAACTGGCTTTTGTAGTTTATCATGAATATTTAGCATGCCATCGTAAACTTTTAAACTCTAGTGTTTTTGCACAATATGCATTTGCAAGACAGAACAGCTCCAATCAAATGTCCTTCGAATCTAGGGCAGAAAGAAAGTTATCTTCATTATAACCATCTTCATTATAACTTATTACTAAACTCAAAGATGGGTGAGCAAATGAGTTCCAGAAATCATTAAATGATATATGAAAGCGCATGTAATACAGAAAAAAAAGAGAAACAAAAACAAAACCACCGCAGCCAGGGAACATTAAGAGTACAAGAAGCCATTTAAGATTTTAACTGTTTATTAAAAACGTTTTGGGAAATGACAAACAAATGTTGGGGTCTGCTGTCTTCAGACCCAGGGCCGACAAAGGAATGTCTATTAAATTAACGACGGTGGATAATGGTGCTCTGTACGGGCTGAAGCGCTTGCTGCCCCCGCTTTACGCTCTTTCTTTCATGCCCCACTGAACCTGTCCAGTTAGCATTCGGAAAACCTTCTAAATACTTTATTGAAGACTTCTTAGCCCATTAAAGTACCACCGTACCTTCCCAATGTTAATTTTCTTGTAAAGAGCAAGCTGGGATTTCCTATCAGAGCAGCGGATGGAAAGACAGTCCCGTTTTGCTTCAGTTGAGAAGACGCGCACGCTCATGGAGACGCTAATAAATGACATTATTTTTTTTCCAGTGGATGTGGGTGAGCTGAGACACACACACACACACACAAGCTTTTGGCCCTATTAGCGATAACTTTAAACATTTAAGATCTGAGGAGACACTTGAGGGAGATGCTAATATGTGAACTGACATTTTTGCCTGAAAACTTTATGAGATTCATTAGCGGGACAATTCAGCTGCTGTGCATTTGTAGCCGTCTATAGTAAACCTCAACCAAGAGACAATAACAACATTAATGGGAGCACCACTGAATTAAAACACACTCCACTGAAATATTTCTAGATATCTCTTATGGTTTTCTAAGAGGAGAAGAACTTCAAACCATTTACAGTAGAACTGACAATCTGTGTCGATGTGTAGTTCCTTTACACGTGAATATGAAAATATATAGATACCATATTATTTTTCATTAATTTGTCCATATATGTACAAACTGAAAATGGACCATGAGAATAAATATGAAAGACTTGCATGAATACAACTGACTGTCTATTATCTGAATCACTCAATCCTATTAACCGAATGACTAATCAAGCTTGTCCAATGTAAGCATTTTTTAATTTTCTTAAAGAAACCTAATTTTCGGAAAATTGACACTTATGAACTGAGGATAATTGCAACTGACCCTTTCAAATCCTTTTAATTTCACACCATACTGACGACACAAAGAACATTAATAGGGAGAAATGCTCAAATTCCCTTTGATCTTTTATATCCTAAACGCCTTAAAAAGATGAGTTGCTAAAGCAAAGTAAAAACAGGAGGTGTAAACTTTAAGCACGAACATAAAAATCAGAAGCGCCACAGATTCTTCACATGATTTAAACTCTCCCCTCGATGGTAATGTGGTCTTCAGCAGATCATGAAACATCACCGCCGCTGAGACAACTGTGTGAGATTTATGCTCCCGATGTGAGAAGGCAGCGATGCGCTCGGTGCTTGGCGTGACGCCTGTGTAAACATGTGTTCCTGTGTTTACACGCAAACATGGATGTGTGTAATTAGCGGCCTAACCCAATCAGTGTGTGTATAATTACAGTCATTAGTGTCAGAGCCAAGCTGCCATGCTCTCTAAACTACGCAATAAACTACATCGCTGCAAACACACACTCATCGTTCTTATTTACGGCTCTCATCTGAAATGGTATGCAAGACATGACTCCTATCACACAGTCTCCTTCTTATCTCTGCTTCTGCTTCACTCTAGTTCTCCGTGTTTGTACAAATCCTCTGCTGTGATCACTGGCTGCTCTTAATTGGAAGCACATTGTTAATGGTGCGCCTGATGGAGCCTGATGCTTTATGAGCACACCCCACATGGGATGAGTCACAGCAAACAGCATCAATATCCACTTCCACCACTTAATGCATTTCAATTAACACTCATATTTATTTATAATTTCAGATTATTTGAGGTTAAGTGTGAAAGTGTGGATGCAAATCATTTAATCAACTAAAGATGTCATGTATTTATGTTGAGAAATACTGCTCCATGGCACAAACATGACATTTTTGCATTTTAAGGGCTGTTGCAGGAGGGAAAGGCAGGCATAGCGTCCTCCTCCAGCAACAGGCAGGGTTTGCTAACAACTATAAAACTATATGTAAATGTCTATGTTCTCCATTCATCTTCCTCACCTCTCTGTTAGCTTTACCGGCACAAACTGCCATCGACAGAGTGAAGCGGTGACACTCCAGCTGCTGGGGAACAGTAGGCCGTGTGATCGTAATACATTTCTTTAATAAAGGCATATCTAATGACAAAACCTTCACGCCGTGTGGATTGCTGCCAGTGATAGTGACAGAGCCGACACACTGCAGATATCCCCTTTGCCACCAGTAATGAGATTTATCCAATGTATATGGCTGCCATGCTAATATCATGACACATCTGTTGCCTTATGGATGTATGATTTTCATACATATGGCATTTGGGTTAGGTAGGTGTAGAGTGAGCAGGGGGGGTAATAATGAAATAAAATAAATTAGGAATCTTCATAATAAAGAAAATGGAGAAAGAAGAGAGAATGGATGGGGAGACACTATGGAAGAGGCTTTCATTCACTGTTTTTATCTCGTCCCATGTTATTATATTCGCTCAATCAAAACCCCTCTTATGCATACGTCTATATGAACTGCCTCTCTCGCTCCGTCTCCCCCCCCCCCCCCCCTCGCTCAATCGCAATTATGAAGGAAAGACAAAGAAAAGCGATTCATCTTTCTGTCGCGGCCCCTTAATGATATCATTAAAATGACTGACAGCTTTGAATAGCGTTGGAAAGCTACTCCAGTCAAAACAAATCTGATCCGTTTTGGAAACAGAGCCTGGTGGTTCTTGAAGGGAGGGGCTCAAAATGATGTGAGGGGGTGGGGGGGGGGGGGTGGGGGGGGGGGGTGGGGGGGGGGGGTGTTAATGAGCGAGACCTGAGGGGGTCACACTGGGAGTATGGGGGGTACTGGTGCCCCCCCACAAACACCCTCTCCCACCCTCCTTTCTCACTTCCATCCGACACCCAATCCCATCTGTGCCACATTCACTTTAATTACCTTAACGAACATAACAAATATATCTCTCCTCTTCAGATGAATGCTATTTGACAGCCATGGGGGTGGCAAAGCAGGAGAGAATGGGCCCTTGATTAGAGTGTAATCATTGTTAAAGGCCCAGCGTGAATAACTTATTCAGATTCAGTGACACACACACACACACATGCAGGGAAACACAGGTGGCTGGGCCCGCAGGGGTGTTTCATTCACAACTTCGCACTCCTGCTGTTATTATCATCATCAGCTTTGTTCAGGCTAGATTGTGTGTGAAACATGGTGGGCTTTTTGTTGGATATGAATGCTAAGCTCTGATCAGCTGGTGGATGCACACAAATGTAACATGTTCACACACACATGGATGACTCACGTTCTGTCGTCTTGCCGGATGCCCTGGTCTTGGATCCGGGCCTGGAAACAATTATGAAATGAAACCTGTTTGTGATCGACACTCTTTATTTGTCTCTCCCTGCTTGTACTTCATTGCTTTTCCACTTTGCACCTGTTCACCTTGAAGCGCTCCATGTCTCTCTGCTTCTTATCCGCCGCTTCTTTCAGTCTCTTTACCTCCGCCTTCAGCGTGTCATTAGCGCCCTGAAGATGTCTGACGAAAGCCGGGGAGATGCAGAGACAGAGTTAAACAGAGAAATAAACACCGGCAAAGAAAAAACAGACACCTATTATCATCAAGGGACTCTTGTTTACATGGCAAAAAATACTCCACCAAACAACAGAAATGGCGCCTGTGCTTCCGGAAGAGCCTTTAACTATCAGACGTTATCTATGACATACATACACACATTTGATGATCAATGATGATGGAACCCGATTGCAGCCATTTATCACTTGTGGCTATTTCAGTATTTAATATTTGTATTCTCAGTATCCAGAAGTATTCAAAAAAAGCTGTCTTTATTGTAATACTTTATTTAAATGGGAGGGGAAGTAGGAATATCCGGTTTTTGAGATGTTATAACGCTCTAACTTCACCTAGCTTGTGTTTCTAGGTTGTGAAAGACTGTTTTCATTGCTGAATAACAAAAATGTAAGAACAAAACACACACACACACAGTGGAAGTTAAGAGAGAGAGGAAGCAGCAGACACACAGAGGGTGGTAGTGCTGCTGGGCGGGGCGGGGGGGAGGGCATGGCACCGCAGGGGGGGGGGGATGACAGGAGAAGGCTAGACAGCTTTGATCTCTGGGAAGAGGAATATGTCACGCCCCTGTCTGTGAGTGTGCATGTGTGTGTAAGTGTGCATGTGTGTGTGTGAGTCATGATGATGCAGATATGCAAAATCACTGTGTCCATCTTCCATAGCTTCTCTTAATAACTGGACTTAAAATCCCACTGGAAATGTTACATTCATATTCTATTTAATATTGAATAATCCATTCTTGCACAATAATATCCTGCATTATATTTGTTACTGGAGATTTGTATTTCCACATGTATATTTTCCACATGTATACATATTTTTTATTTTTTATCTTTTTAATGCTATTTCTGAAATATATTAGACTGTTTATTTCTGTGTCTTAGTTTCTCTTATGTACATTGCCTTGTGTTTTATTATGCTGTGGGATTAATAAAGTACCTACCTATCTATCTATCTACCTACCTACCTACCTACCTACCTACCTATCTACAGTATCTATCTATCCATCCATCTATCTATCTATCTATCTATCTATCTATCTATCCATCTATTCATCTATCTATCTATCTATCTATCCATCCATCTATCTATCTATCTATCTATACATCTATCTATCTATCTATCTATCTATCTATCCATCCATCCATCTATCCATCTATCTACCTACCTACCTACAGTATCTATCTATCCATCCATCTATCTATCTATCTATCTATCTATCTATCCATCTATCTATCCATCTATCTATCCATCTATCTATACATCTATCTATCTATCTATCTATCTATCCATCTATCTATCTATCTATCTATCCATCCATCTATCCATCTATCTATCTACCTACCTACCCATCTATCTATCCATCCATCTATCCATCTATCTATCTACCCATCTACCTATCTATCTACAGTATCTATCTATCTATCCATCCATCTATCTATCTATCTATCTATCTATCTATCTATCTATCCATCTATCCATCTATCTATCCATCTATCTATCTATCCATCTATCCATCTATCTATCCATCTATCTATCTATCTATGTATATATCCATCCATCCATCCATCTATCCATCTATAATACACACAAATAGGTGGAGGTGGAGGTGTAGCATTATTCCCTCATTGATAAACTCACGCTTTCTCTTCAGTGAGGATGAGCAGCATCTTGTGTTGGGCCTTCATCTGAGCAGAGAGGCTCTCGTTGGAAGCCCTGTAAAGAGGAGAAAAACGTCTTAAATGTAATAAAGTTTAAAGGTAAAATAGCCATTATTAATGCCACTATATAGGGCAGTGATAAGATTAGATTAGAAAGATGCAACTGTATTGTCGTGGAAAAATGATGTGAGCATCTAAGCAGACGTGCAAGAGAAGCAGCATATGTGTATAAAATAATCATATAAATACGACAGATATTATTAGTAAGTATATACAGCATAAGAAGAATTATTGAGTACAAACACTATGAACATTATTGTAAATATTGAATTGAGGTTGTAGAGATATAAACACTCTAGACGGAATAAGTATGAAACACTATAAACAAGTATTGACCCTTTTATAATAACATAGTATTGGTAGGGGTACTATAAACACACTGAACATACACATTATCAACTTAAATATACTGGTACATTTCTTTTTATATACACATTTAAGGAAAGAACAATAAAAAACATTCAGTGTAAGTGTTGTCATACCTTTGTTCACTGATCCAGCGGTTGACATTAGTCAGGACCAGCTGGCTCTCACAGCGGAGGTTTGCTTTGCCGATCAGTGTCTCTTTCAGCTGCAATACACACCAAGTATAATCCATAACAATGTGAGACATCATACAACTAAATATAATAATAATAAATCTTTATTTATAGAGCACTTTTCATACAACACATGCAGCTCAAAGTGCTTTACAAAATGACAAACCACAAGTTAAAAATACAAGAAATTCCCCTCAGATTATTTGTTAAGAACTGTACAGACCTGTACATGCAGCAAAATATAACATTTCATCAGGTTAATAGACACAAGGAGGTCAAATGTATGATAATAAAGATAAAATAAAAATAAATAACGGTTTCTCTCCGACAGATTAGACACAAGAATCGATGCAACAATATAACATATATAGCAGCAAAGTAAAACGTATGCATAATGTTCACAGAATTCCCCTCTTATTACTTTCTTCTTACTCTTAAATTCCTCATCTTTTCTGACTGGATTCACGATGGTGAAAACTGGAAGATTTGTATTGTCGTGTTAATACTTTGCATTAATCCTACAGCTGAAGGAAAGTTTGATCTGCATGATATTATTGTAAGAGACATTTGGTAATATAAGTATCAATCTCTAAATTCCTGTAATCTTTCTTTGTCTTTGCTTGTTTAGGATTTAGGATTAGATAAATGTTTATACAAATGAAGGCATTATTTTAGATGATTAAATGTAGTGCCTTTAGCGAGTTTATAAGGATCTACAGTAACCCTGCTTTAGTTCAACCAGAAGTCTGCAGCTTAAAAATATCACTTTCTCTCAAGGGAAATATTAAAGTCTTACACTGGCTTTTCACTTTGAGATTTGTTTAAGTCTCTCCCACTCTGCACCGACACCAAAGGTGTGAAATAAATGACGGTGAAACAAGTGGATAAGGGAGACTGTAATAGATGTGAAGAAAGGACAGGGTGAAAATACATGACAAAAATAAAGCACATTAGCAACCCGAGAGAAAAATTAGCTAAAGGGAGAATAATGGGGGATGAAAGGGTGGCAGACGCAGGTATAGATAGCGGGTAGAAGTTTAAAACAGGTGCAGAGGGAGAAAAGAGGGAGGATGGGGGAGGAAAGAGGGAGGATGGGGGAGGAAAGAGGGAGGAAAGAGGGAGGAAAGAGGGAGGAAAGAGGGAGGAAAGGGGGAGGATGGGGGAGAGCAGACTGAAGACGAGATTGCAGGAGGAAGTCGGGTGAGGGGTGAAAACAGCGATGGGATGGCACCGGCCAAACTGCTGACTTTTCATTCTGCTTATCAGTCAGGACCTTTCCAGACCTCAACTCTGGGGAGCCCGACACATTACCCTTATCGCCATGGAAACACCTTGATACACTATACCATCTTCCCATGAAGACTTTGACGACCATGAACGAATTTTTCCAATATGTGGGACATCATTTAGGCACCCCAAAAATGCCATATGATTAACCCAAAATGTCAAAAATATCAGCTGCCGTGTAAGCTGAATCATGTTCTGTGTGTGTGTGTGTGTGCGTGTGCGTGTGCGTGTGTGTGTGTGCGTGTGCGTGTGGTGAATCCTATAGTTACATGTATTATTGTAGATGTTTATCTGGAAAGCACCACAGGGTTAAATGTAACACAGAGATAATAAGACACCTGATCCTGTCGATGCAGAGCTGACTAAAAAGATTAGAACTAGGCTTCATTTCAGCATCAAATGGCTTCAGTGGAACAGGGCAATACAGCCAATAGAAATGAAGAACCTTTAAGATTACTAAATAAAACACAATTCTGTAGAGTTCATTAAGTCTGGTTTGTTGATCTATTGATTGTTATGAATCAACAAAACAGCAATATATTACCTCCTTTGGGCCAACCCCAAATGTACAGAACTACAGCTTGTACAGAGTGAAAACAACAACTTTTAGATTATTTACAACTTTATCTACCTGCACCACATACAACCCTGAGCTACAGAGTGAGCAGACAGTTGTACAGTTGACCAGTCATATTTGTAGCACAGTCTATGAGAGAAATTCATGCAACAACTCAAAGGTTTTAGCGTGTGTTCTTTTGCAGCAAAATGTGCAACAACAATATTTGCTGCAACAAAAAGGTAAATGGACACTCACATTGCCAACTGAATAGGCTGCCTGAGATGTGAAAGCAAGTCATGAAGAAGACGCGTATCTGATGACTAACATCTCACAACATGAGGAAGAATTACACTTTTAATAAGACTCGGGTTAAGGACCTTTCCACAAATGAAGTCATCAAGAAAAACTGGGGCAACGACGAAATTAAGTCGAGCAAATTATTAAATTCTGAAGAGAAAACTGAGTCGGGGTATAAATGGTAATAGCATTTATCAAATAGGAATAAATATTAGTTGTGATTTCTTTCCTGATTTTGGTGTAGACCAAACCCACACTAATACTACAATATTAATTATAGACACAACAATATCAAACTGAACCACTCAAAAAGTGGCACACTTAAATGCATCTACACACACACACACACACACACACACACACACACACACACACACACACACACACACACACACACACACACACACACACACACACACACACACACACACACACACACACACACACACACACACACACACACACACACACACACACACACACACACACACACACACACACACACACACACCACACACACACACACACACACACACACACACACACACACACACACACACACACACACACACACACACACACACACACACACACACACACACACACACACACACACACTAATGACAGTAATTACCTTTAGTCTCACATTAACATCTCCCTCCTGACTGGCGGAGGGATGTAAATCGCGCCACAAGTCTGATGTTGTGATTAGGACTAAATTACGCACCATCACTCTGTTTCCACCAGTGTCAGGGGAGGCAGTGGACGGGTGTGTGAGGAAAAGGGGGAGAGTGTGAGGACATTTAGAGAAAAGGGGACAAAGGAGGTGCGATTGCACACGAGGGGGGAGGAGTAAAGTAGCACACCTGCTTAACATTTAGATTGGTTTTGTTGCACAAATATTTTAGCAGATGATGGGGGCTAAAAGGGGCAACGAAATGCATTTGGGACACACTTATAACCAAGTTGGGCGATACCACTGGTTCTTTCAGGCCTCTGCTGGGGAATATGAGTTAACTGCTGCAGAGCTGGTGAAGGATTTCTGATCTGCTGCAATAGTATTTATCATTTTGATGGTTTATTCTATCATAAAAAAGCACAGTCCAGCCCACATTCTGTATTCACAATAGATACAAGATGTGGCTTGAAGTTCATTCTGATGTATAAGTTCAGAAAAAGATCGTACAAAGCGTACCTGCAGACAGAAAAGAAAGAAATTGTGGAGACTTAATGGATTTTCCATCTTTTCTATTCTCCATGGAGCTGTGGACTAGTATCACATTTCACATTAGCTGTCCAGGACAAAAGTGCTTTTTCACTAAAACAGACCGTGCTGTCCAAGGGATAAACATAACTCAAAGTTAACTTTTCTCTGTGAGGAATATGAAGATGAGGATCTAATCAGAAGCAGACAGCCTGCTTGTTGCTACCATAACCATCAAACCGCCAGAGCTGAATACGAGCCATTACTCTGTTCCACTCAGCTCATCAGAGCACATCCTCTCATCAAATTAATGAACACATTTATTGTTAAACACGTTTTTATAAAACATTCATTCATTCTGTCTAATTAAAAGACCCAACAGGCCTGACATCACTTAAATATGCATACTTATCACTCACAGGGTCTGAATTAAAGATCTACAGGCGTGTGTGAGGGTGAGGGTGAGTGAGTGTGTGAGTGTGCGTGCGTGTGTGTGACGGTAGGAGAGAATGAGGTTTCCTGAGCAGGTCTTCTCACTCTAGGCTTAATGGTGATAATCATGGCGTGACCCAACATTAAGACTGTGCGTGCGTGTGTTTGTGTGTGTCCCACTCTCCCTAATGGTGACGATGATGACATGTTCTCCATTAGACTAGTCAGTGGGCCACAGCAGATCTAGCATATTAATGATGCTGATGATGGCTTCTTTAATTACCCTCGTCTGCTGCCGCATGGCCTCGCTCTTCTCCCCGAGTCCTTTCATCACACACTCTCCTACGCATGCTGCTGGGTTGTTTATCAGTGGCAGACATTATTCAAGTCCCCTATCTTTGCATCTAGCCTGCATGAGCAGAACTACATTACCAGGCTCGGTAAAAGTTCATCAGACACTTCCCAGCTAGATGAAGTTCCCACATCTTACTAGGGATCATTTTAATATATCAAGGGAAATTAGAAGACTGAAGACTTAAGCGACCGGCCTGCAACAGTACCAAGCAAAGAACCATTTTAGTTTGTTTAATGTTGCTGTATTTTTTAGTCAATAGCAAAGGCAAGCAACAAACAACTGCCAGCCCTGTTATTATTTCAAAACCTTAAAACTAAAATAATATATAGTGACGGGTGGCATTCCTTTATAAAAAGTTACTTTCTGCAAGATAATTGATTTGTATGAAACTATTTCTGAATACACAAATATTTTTAGGAAGTTGACATTAAAGTAAATTAAGGGACCACAATTCAATGACGTGTTGTATAACATGAATATCTACTTGATAACATCTCACACAAAAGGAAAAGAAAGTTGTCTTGACTTCGCTAGGTTTCCATTTGTCCATAATATCAAATCATATCAATAATGTTAACTAGTCTTCATTGTTTGCTCAGAGACTGAGATGAAGTTTGAATAGACCAGTGCTACAGAGCTTTTTTGTAGTGTGTGAAGAGGACTTTTAAAAGAATCAAACTTGCAGCTAAGATGAGATGATGAAATGTTAGCCTTGAATAATTACAATTATAACAATTACTTACAGTTAAACAAGGAGCTGTTGGATGAGTCTCTAGTGTGGTTTGCAGAGACTGATTTTCACTTATACGTTTCCTTGAGCACGGTAAAAAGAAAACAGGTATACATGTATAAAAGCAAGGAGTCTGAACTTTGAACAACGGATATGATTTAGCCTTGGTTTCTTTCTAAAACCCCCATGGTAAATACAGGTTTTGAGTACCTGAAGAACAAAAGGTTCCACTAATCCAACATTTTACATTAAAACTACAATTAATACAACTCAGCTAAATGTGACCTAACAACAAGAGAGAAACAACCTTTTAATACCAATGGGCCTAATTTACTTGTTCTTTCTTCCTCTTGCTAACATTGAAGCATCATGTCTTAAATACACCTAATGAACTTTACACAGTAACTTTGAAGTTTTACCCGCATCCATTCACAGAGAAAACAGACCTACGGCCTTCTTCAGGTGAAGAAGGACAGCTTGACAGCTAAGAGGGACACAGAGTTATGGAGTTGACGTTGAGAAAAATAGCGGTCGGCGTCTGCTCATTGTCCGTCTCATTCTTCAGTTGAATTACAGGAGCATAGCTTAAGGAGCTGTGTGTGATGGGACACAAGGACACGCATGCACACACACCGAACAAATACGAAGGCCAAACTTATACTGGTATAACTGAACCACTTATTTGTATTCATCAACTAAACAAATGAGATTCATTTGTCCTCATCTCAATCATCAGTGCAGTGTGTGTGTGTGTGTGTGTGTGTGAGTGTGAGTGTGAGTGTGAGTGTGAGTGTGAGTGTGAGTGTGAGTGTGAGTGTGTGTGTGTGTGTGTCTTAAAAGGTGTGATCTAGAAGGTCATTTGAAACTAATTAGGCTAGGTCTTGCTATCAGGTATAATGTGTGAGATTAATGAACAGATAGGAAAGTTCCAGCGACTTGCTCTCTCAAGTATATCAGATAAAACACTACACACTTGTGTTGGTAAAAGTTCAGCCACATTTCAAATAAAATCAGACCCTTATAGTGTTTGATTAGTTAATGGCAACATTCAGAAGCTAAATCATAGCTGTAAGGGTGAATAAAATGTAAAAAAACTGTAGCAAATCAACTTTTACTCCGATGTGAAAATGCTGTGAAGATTAAAACAGCGTCTTGGAGCTTTTTGTGATTCACTACGTTTCCTTTCTGAAAGATACTTAAGCAGCTTTTATCTCGAGGCACCCTGTTGACTCAAAATGATTAAAAGCTACTGCTAATTGTATTTCTATAGGGTGACTTCAATAGTAGTAAACGTTTGAGTAGACATTCTCCTAAACTTTTGCAATCTGAAAACTATTTTGCGAATTCTCATTAAGGCTGTTTGAAACCTTTTGCTCCATGCTTAAGAAGTTGAGGTAAACACACTAATGACTGTGATTGTGTGTGTGTGTGTGAGTGTGTGTGTGGCAGAGAGAAAGAAAAGAGGGTGGAAAGGAGAGAGGGCGGGTCTGATCAGTCACAAAAACATGCCTCATGTTTACCACAGCTCGTATCTGAACTGGACTCATGCAGAGGGACATGATCGAGAAGAGTGTGTGTGTGTTTGTGCATGCTGAAAGGCCTCACACGCAAGCAAGAAATGAGTGGCAGATAACATGCAAATCCCTTTCTTCATATCAGAAGGGAAACATAAAATGAAAATGCATAAACAGAGCCGGAAAACACAAACAAGGATGTAACACACACACACACACACACACACTGTGTATACAAAGACATGTACACAGAGAAAGACAGAGCTATCTGAGGTTCAGCTACTGTGCACCGAGGCAATTTGTAATATAGATTTCCCTCTATAGGCCACTGTAGTGTACCATTTACCATTTCAAACCCTTTGATTTTTTTCACCGCCGGATAATTCATCTTCTGCTGCTCAATAACACAGATTGGGACCTAATGAAGGAGTCATAGTCAGAATGGACTTCACGCTGATGTTTAAACACTGTTTGGAGTCAAATTCATTGAGAAGCTCATCTGTTGTTGACATGATGGAAGACGGCGAGAATGCAAACAGGGGAAATGTTGGATTGTGTGTATGAATGCATATAACATGCAGATAAGTCAATTACAACTCAAGGAATGTAATACAAATGTTTTATGGATTTAAACAGATCAATATAATGATTTTAACAGCAGTTTGAAAAGTAAAAGAATATTATTTTATTATATTGACCTGTTTTTAATCACTTACATGTAACACAATTGTAATGTTGTACTTTGTCAATGTTGAGCCAATATTAGTTACTTTTTGAAATACCAGGTTGATTACTGCGTTGAGTACCACATTATATTAATTTAGGATATCATTAAAAATGAGGGTTGATAAATGTAGTGGAGTAAAAAGTACATTTGACTCTGAAACGTAGTGTGGTAGACGTATAAATTAGCATGAAATGGAATTAATGGAAGCAGCAACAATATGTTAAAAAAGTAGTTAAATACATTACTCAGTTATTTTGTACTAAAAAAAATCAACAGAAGTTTTTCCTAAATAATGATCATCTGCCAGAGTGAAAGCCTACAACTGACATGGATATCGTTCTGAGTTCATATTTATATTTGTCAGTGCGTAAACACCACCCGATGGAGAGTGGCACTGTCTGCTTCACCCTTATAGAGACTAGATGCTGCCGGCTGTTGGAGGCACAGCATGTCGTATTAGCGCCCTTAAGGAATAATTTGACATTTTGGGAAATAAGCTTATTTCCAATCATGCCAAAAGTGATATCAGAAGATCGATAACACTCATTTTTGTCTGTTAGATATAATTATGAAGCCAGCCTGTTAGCTTAGCTTTGCACGAAGACAGAAAGCAGTCAGCCTGGCTTAGTCTGAAGTCAAGTGTCCATTGAAAATCATGGTATTCAACATCAAGAATTGTATACAATATATGTTTGCCACATTGCGATATATCAGAAAGAATATTTAACTACATGAAAAGTGTAACCAGCCTCATTTCAGCCTAGGGAAGCTGTTAGTCTCTACACAGAAGAAACAGAGTTTGACTTTATGTTTGAGAGTTCAAACACAGGTATTGCCATGTTCTCTTCATGCAAGACTTTACAAACCTGTGAAATGTGCTGCTATATATTTAATCCATAGAATGTATGTTTAATCAGAAATTGTACACGAAAGAAAAGATGGCCAGTCGCACAGCAAAGGCAGAGATGAAAGGCCTTTCTCTACACTGGCTACTGACCGACCAATCAGCCGTCCTAAGTCAGAGTTTCACTGGCCTTGGGCTATCACTATTGTCAAACCCTGGTGCACGAATGTTAAGAGAAAAAAGCAGAGCCACGCTATGTGGGCTGCATTATTCACAAGGACAGGGTGAAAAAAAGAGTAAGGTGAGGAAGAACGAGAGAAAGAAACGGAGAGAGAGGAAGACATGTGTGAAAGAAAGAGTGAGCGACAGAGGAAGAAACTTTAAGAAGAATTTGAACAAAATGCAAAATCAGGATCCGAGAGAGCATCACTGTGCACGGCAGCTTAAGAAGGAATTCAAAGTTTGTCGAATCTAAATGAACATCAGTTCCCTGTCCTGGCTTTACCCTTAATTATCCATTCTGCCTTTGTACGGCGGCGGCTCAGCTCTGACAACCGCTCTCCCCAGAGACCCCCCCCCTCCTCCGCTCCCAGCCAGAACATTAGGGAATATCAGGGAATATTACACCCAGGAATTAACGCTCCAAATCACCTTGCCAGGTTTAGGTCCCGCATGCACCCCTCCTTCTCTTGGACAAGATAATCCGGGCTCTAGCACCGGATATATGCCACTAATCATCAAAAAGGTAAGGGCGGGGGTGTAGGGAGAGAGAAGAGGAGGAGAGGAGAGGAAGACCTTGGAGGGCATGGGAGGAGAGGAGAGGAAACCTTAACAAATCTGTGTTTGTGTTGGTGTAGTATACTAGCTGACTTATTTTGACCTAAAGTATAAAAAGGGCAGCTACAGAAACTAGTGCACTAACTGGCAGAAGGATTACATTTAAATAATATTTAGTGGTAAAATTGGGAAACCTTTCTGTGATTACTGACAGTATCTCAATGCTTTAATTGACACTTTGCCAAGAGAGATTAAACACTGTGAATTATTTGCGGAGCGATGTCACTCAGGTGTGTATTTATTTACCTGTTCTTGCGCTTCCTGCTTCTCTCGCTCTGCCTCCAGTTTGTGATCGACAGCCTGCTGAAGATTCCTCCTGAGCTCCAAAACCTCCGACTCCAGCCTCACAGCCACAGACCTGCACACACACACAAAAAATCTGCTCAAATATATGCTAAAAGAAAGGAAATGTAAACTTTAATTTAATTAATTGTGTTACCTCTTTACACTTTAACAAAGATGTACATTTTTAGTAAACTGATAATACATTTAAATATATAAATTGTAGAATAGATCTCATTTAGTTTTTCAAATGTATCCTAAAAGTAGGTTTAATAATAATAATCATTGAATATATTTTCACTTTTTGCATTATTTATAACAAAAAACTAATCCTCAACACTTATGGATTTAAAAATATAAGTTTTTTAAATCCAGATATGTAGGAGTGTTTAACTTAGGCCCAGAAAGTGTGAGTGTGTGTATGTGTGTGTGTGTGTGTGTGTGTGTGTGTGTGTGTGTGTGTGTGTGTGTGTGTGTGTGTGTGTGTGTGTGTATGAGTGTGTGTGGCAGCCGAGCTAAGGGAATGTGAAGGGGATCAATATGAGGGGGTCTATTCCTGCCACGCAACTGTGCGTCTGTGTGTATGTGAGTCAGTTAGTGTCTGCAAGTGTGTGTGTGTGTGTGTGTGAGAGTGTGTGTGTGTGTGTACGTACATGTGTGCGAGCCAGTTTGTGTGTGTGCCAGCTGCCCTGGCTACAGCGAGATCAATACGACAAATGATTACCATTTCCACAAACCTCCCTCCACAGCCTCGCTCCGGCCGCTCAGCGAGCCTCAACACCCCCGCCAACCTTCACACACACACAAACACACGCACCAAAACAAACCGCCCCCACTCTTGACCCACACCTCTAAAAGCAAATAGAGAAGCCTACAAGTTTATTAATAGTAAAAAAGATTTGGGCCTAGTAGAAGAGAAAGTTTTGGGACGGGTGATACTTTATAGATTTTACAGTTAAAGCAAGAATGACTATGCAGGGAAAGACCACAAAGTCAGCGTTTCATTTCGTTTTTATTGGCATTTGTGTTAAATTAAAACATAATAAAATACCAAAACATGAACAATATCTACCCCTCTGTCTCTATACATAATTTTTTTTTTTTCAGTTGAAAGATTCAACTTTTAAGGTAGCAACTATCATGATTTTATTATTGATTTACCTACCGTTTGTTCCCTCTGTTAATCAATTGATCCATTCATTTATGTGTCAAAAAAGCGTGAAAATTATCTGTCATTTAAAAAAAGTTATTTGTTTGAATGAAATGTTTTGCCCACTTCAGAGACCAATAATTGAAGGCACTCAATTTATAATATACAGAATTATATAATAAACAGATCATTTCAGCTCAAATGAAAATGTCTTTTATTGGAAAGTGGACAAAAGCTATTCTCAAATAAACATCCTCAAAGGAGAAAGTCAATTTTACCAGCTGTGAGGGATACCCATCAACATCTCGAACATTTCAATATATTATCTTTTTAAATGATCAATAAAAGAATATATAAACAAATTCACGAGTTGACTTTCCGTCTGTGTCTCAACACACAGGATAATAATGTTGCAGCACTGAACTTAAACTGATAGAAACAGAGTAACTCAGGGGTAGTAAAAGCTGAAGCAGAGCGGCCAAAACAAAAAGGAAAGAGAATGCGTGATGGATTGGTCCGTGGAGAGAACACATGATAGGATGAACAGCGAGGGAGAGAGAAAGGGAAGAAAGAGAGGAGGCATCCTGTGGAGAAAGGAGGGGATTTCCCACAGCACAGATGGAAGCCATTAGTATGGTGTTGTTGCTTAAAAACCTTTCATGTCTTTGCAGTTATTAGATAATACCGGGTTAACGGTAAACAGCATGATTCTGCAAATGGATATATAATATGCAGAAAACAGCAATTGTTTTCTCATTCACCACCTAAAATTGGTAATAAAATGCAATAATTCAGAAAGTAACCTATAAAGTCTCCTACAGAGTTTTGACGATAAAAACTGCTCCACAAGAAACTCCCAAAGACGGCGACCGTTGCAGTGAGGTCATGTCGAAGCCAAAGCCACAACCACAACTATGCGCACAAACAGACGCACACAAACACACACTCTACTGGGTGATACATGCGTGCTGATGTCATCACCGCAGCTCTGGTAACACACAGGGGTCAACCGGGGGTCTCGCCTCTGAACTCTGAACTCCACGACCTAACATCTGCTTACCTACCGTGTCCCATCGATACACATTTTGTTAGATGAACTCAGGAACAGAACTTTTTTTTTTGCTTTGGGATATCTAAATCCTTGGATAGAACAGAAAGTTGTTGAGTCTCTTAAACAATATTTAGAGCTTAGGGCCGTTCTGTTTAACACATGTACAGCCTACTGTGCAACGCACTTATACAAAACTAAATGTTTTTGATTACTGTGCTTACACAGGGGACGATGGGAAATGGGATAACAGAGGAAGCTCCCGCTCTCCCCCTCTTTTCCCTTCTTACCTTATTTTCCCCTCTGCTAGCTTTCCCTCATTCAGGCACCCCTCCATCCGCCTCGCCTCCTCTGCACGGGCTGCCAACTCCTCCTCTGAGCAGGAGAGAGAGAGGACAGACAGAAAAGTGTGAGATAAAGAGCAACAGTTCACATCAGTGGCTGTAATTCTGCATTCATTAGAGAGAAGGCATCATTTAAATATGGGCCATATGACAAAAATACATGTGAAATGTAATGTCAGATAGCGCTTGAGGTTGTTTTTATTGTATGAAAAGAAATAAATATGTAACATGAGTATAGATAGTACTTGACATGCTCCAGCACACCAAGGTTAATATGATGATTTACAAAACATGCATACTATACAGAGGGGATATTTATTCTCGTCAGCATGAGAGGGAAAATGTGAGCCTTCAAAGCCAAACGAAATCCGCCACAGAGTCACTAGACGCTTTTTAGAGGCAGAAAGTGTTGCACTGCTTGCTCTTAGACAAGGCAGCAGCCCTTTTGGTGGTAGACAAAAGGAGCGCTCCCTGACTCGGTCAATAGATGGCACTCTTTACCTTGAGCAAGCCACTGGAGCTCCCACTCCTGACTGCGTCCCTTCAATCACATTCCCTTTTCAGCCTTTCCTCAGTCTACATGCAATAAAACCCCATTGTCCTACACTTAGTAGTTTAGCGCATTGAGCAGATGCATAATAAACTGACAGTCCGGCTCCTTGCTTAGGTTTGCTTTCTCAGACCCTTCTCAGTTTGAATTTAAAATGTAGGATTTCCTCTTCTTTTTTTTGTTCTGCGTGCTGTTTTGTGAGTCAATGTTTCTTCATCGCTCTTAAAACCTTTTCACTAAATTCAGTATTCATTGAATATAACATAAACTGTCAGCCATCGGTGGCCAAGGCTAGTGAATATTGAGGAGGTGTGCGCGCTGAATATGTAGAGGTGTGTGTGTTGAATATTTACAGGACGGACCTTGACTTTGTGGGTGAGCCTGTGTGTTTGAGTGTGTGAAATAGAAATAGAGAAATGTTAAGTGTATTTCTGTAATGCTTTTAGCGCCTCACCCTGTGATGGTGGGATAGACAGAATAAGGGGGAAGCTAAAACCAATACTAGCAAGGAGGAAACAGAGAAAATAAAATCTACATTTAATAAAATTATGATTAATTTATGGTTGTGCAGCATCCAAACTGTTTAAAATAAAGCCCTCAGAAAATTGAAACTGCTAAATATTTAACGATACACAGACACTTTTATTTGTGTGTGCCTGCCTTGGCTATTTCCCTGAATCTCAAGGTGAAAGTTTGTTATGAATCTCAATAATCAATAAAAGGAGAGATGTGAAAACTTGAGGTGGGGATCAAATTCGCATTCAAGGCATTAGTTTTGAGGTGACCTCAGTGACACTTCCCGCCAGGGGAGGCCACAGAGAGAGCAATTAGCTGCAAAGACTGACCGTTTACACAAACGCTCCTATTTGCACCAAAACACACACAACAGGCAGAGATACACACCGACACACCGATGAAACCCACACGAGAAATTAAGTGAAAAGACAAACAGCTTTCCTTATAAAGAAATCTAGAAATATGAAAACAACAAAAGTAGAAAGCAGCGCACACAGACAAATGGATAAGATGTGTGGTATATTGAGCTTATTTTGATGATAAAATACTGCCAACATTTTCCACATTAGACGAGGATAAGCTGAGGATTTCTCAACAATGAATTCTCCTCAATAGCTTGAGATAGTTCATACTGTGAGGCCCGGGTCTTCTTACATCTGGCTTCAGAGTTAAGTTATGACATTAGTCCACAATCGAAGATCTTGGGTCTCTCACTTTCTTGACCTTTTTATTCTGGCTTCACAACTTAAGGTCTGACATTAGTTCTTAATCTAACTCTCTCTCGATCTCTCAATGCCTTCATACGCGCTTCAAAGCCCGTCATATAGCGTCGGTTTATAATCACAGATCTGCGGTCAGATTACCCCGCTCTCACGGCTAACCTTTAACATGAGAGGGACGAAAACCCGGCTCACCCTGAATCAGTGGTCGGGCCCTGCCTGGCCCTCATAAAAGCTTCATGCGGCTTCATAGGGGCTTCCTTTGGCTTTGTTGGGGGATTCGTAGCGGGCTAAGGTGATCTCGGGAGACGTCCCAAAGCATCCCAAGACTCTCCCGCTCTCTTTCTGAAGTTTCACGGGCTTGCAACACTGCTGTTGGGTATAAGCCAAAAGGTGCAGCCGCACACCGTCATGCACTCAAATACACCACGAGAAGAAGAACAAAAACACTCACAAAGACAAAGAGTAACACACAAGTAGAATCTAAAACTCACACACACATGCACCCCAACACACTCCCCTCTTGCTCTCTCCTCTCCGCTTTATTTACAATCCTCTGGCAGCGGTACAAGGGCCCGGGGCTATAACACACGGCACCTAATGCTCAAACTGCCAGGTAATCTCATGTCTGACATCCCCCTTTGATAGAAACTGATCAATAGACTCTTGTAAAGGAGTCATTTTCTCTGATGTTTCTACCAACCACTTCTCTCCATCGCTATCTCTCTCCCCTTCTCTCCTTTTCTCTCTCCCCCCCTCTTCTCTTTTATTAGCTATACATTTATAATTCATATTACAGCGGGGCTGAGTTTGCTCTGAGACAAAGGGGGGCTTCTTTGTGTAATAAAGAACAATGGTGGTGAAATGATGGGGAGAAATGCCAGTGTTTGCTGCTGGTTCCGGTGAACAACAGTTTTGGGGATCGATAGAGTGTGAAATGGGATTATAGCTAGTAATAGAGGTGAATTGGAGGAGAGAGGCCTGTGCACGTGTGCGTCCGGGGATCCAGCAGCACACACACACACGCATACGCACACACATGCACGATAATGATTTCATCATCTTTAGGCAGATGCACATCAGCAGCACAGAGGGGTGGTAATATCGCATTTCTGTTTTTGTGGAAGTGTGGAAATATGGATATTGTGTTTTTGTTTATGCTGTTATTTCATTTGTTGTCAAGGAGCATCACATTTATATCACATTACGGCCAACCTAACAACGCATCTTATTTAACATGCAAGATGACACCATGAGTCATATTTGAATATTTCAAACATCCGTCCCTGCTTGAATTTCATAGGTAGGTGCTAAAGAAAACAATTTAGCAGCCATTTAGAAAACACTACATGCAGTTTCATCTGAATCTGATGGGTTACGTAACCTCATATATAAAACGTGTTGCCTGTACGGAGTCTTACTTTTCAGAATTATGCCACAAATCAGTTTTAATTCACGTCAAATGAAGTATATATATATACTGTAAATGTTACACCGTCAACATCAATATATGAACTGTACACTGGCTTTCTCTTGCTTAAAAAGTGTTACTATTTTTAAGAAAGGGAATATCTAGTAAAGTAAGAGTCATACAGAAAATGCGAGTGACATTGAATTTGACACATACAGTCATATGCCACTTTTAAGGACTTTTTTTCCTCTCCTTTTTAATCACCCTCTTCTCCTTCCCCGTCTCTCCTGCCACAGTCTGATTGAATCCAGCTGCCTTCAGCCGCTTCAATCATCCACATGACACTCCTCCTCCTATCCTCTGTTTCTTTCCTCCTTTGACATTCCCTCCATCCGGCCACAGAGACCTTTTAATATAATATCCATCATTTTCCCAGCTACAGTTATGTTTACGCCCAGTTTACTGTAGCATTCATGCAACATGTCAGCCGTTTCCCAGCAGCAAACAACTTTACAAGTGAAAATGCACTGATGGAGACCATAAAAACACATCAATTTGGTAATCATTCTGGCAGTAAAATATTATACTCTGTCATTTTACTGTCTTGCGAAGAAGAAGAGGCACAAATATAATGGAAATACAATTATTTGTCCCTTTTCCAGTTAACAGAACATAAAATATTGAAACAAAGTCAAATGTGGTTTTGATGGAAATTCACTTGTTATGTATCTCATTATTCTTAGTGTATACCTCTTAGTTGCTGTCCATATAATCTGCATTTTAACCTGTTTATTTTCATACTCTTCCACACCCTAAACCATATCTACTATTATCAAGCAACACAAAGAATCATCACCACTCAAAGTGCCTTTTTCACAATACAAATAAAGAGCCTGGACAAGGGCTTCATGTTAATAAAAAGTCCTTTTGTTCACAACAGTAATTTCTCAAGCTGACTCCTCACCCAGTCCATTCAGGCTGCAGCTATATCCAGGTAAACAATGCCCCCTTTGTTATAATAATGCTTCTTTATGCTTCTTAAGTCATTACAATGGGCTTTACATTGCTGGATTGTATTTTCTGGAGGTAAAAGCTGAATAATATGTGGTTTTGTGTGGAGCGTGGAGTTGAGGGTTTTTGATCACAGACAAAGGCCGAGCCACACAGCGCTGTCCTTCTGTCTCTATCTTGTTAATGAGCAGTGTTCAGCGAGCAAGCCCGCCACTGTCTGCCACAGAGAGAGACCTCAGATTCATCTCTCTGCGGACAATAGGTGAATGTGTGTGTGTTTGTACCTCCGAGAGCCAGTGTGTATGTGCTAATTAAAGCAGGGGGAGTTGGGAGAAATGGCCCTGTGTGTGTGTGTATGCGAGGTGTTTGCCTGGCGTGACCGTGGATGTGTACGTTAATTCTTAATGAGACATTTCTGTGCCCAGTGAGACCCAGCCATCACCATTCCTGCACTGACACACTACTACAAAGGCCACCATCGCACACACATGCACACACACCAGATCATTACCATACCGCTAAAGCAGTGTGCCATTAAATCAAACCTCTATCTCCTGGTGTGTGTGTGAGTGTGTGTGTGTCTGAGATAACATTGCGTGCAGACAGTCAGGAACTGAATCACCACATTGCTGCACCACTGCTGGCTAATTTGAGCTAACAGATCGAGCTAACAGCAGTGGAGCTGGTTCAAAACAAAAGGCAGGGCTCATTGTACAGTATACGTTATTATAAAATGCTTAAGGATGTGCCAAGATTGTTGTTATAGAGCATTATAAATATAAATGATGGGTTTAAAGTATTATTTTAGAGTGCTATAAGCAAATTATAACAATAAATAAGCTATATATAAAGCATTATAGGGTCACAGAATGTGTCAAAATCTCTCTATATGCATCTACACTTTAAGAGTATGTTATTTGTTGTTGGATAAACAGACAGATGGGTGGATACATGATATTTGTATTGCCTGATTGCTACCTGTCACTTGCTGCTTGCTGCGTAGCTCCTCCATTTCTCGGCTCAACTGTCTGACACAAGCGCTCAGACTCTGTTTCTCTCTGATGGCGCTCCTCCTCTTCTCCTCCTCCTTCAGTATCTCCTCCTGAAGCCTCTGCGCCTCCTCTCTCTGAACCTCCACCTCTCGTCTGGCCTCCTTCAGCTCCTCCTCTGACGCTCTGAGAAGTGCCACATGTACCTGCAGCGGGAGTAAAGGGCCAAGAGGAGTAGTGAATAAGTGACTGAGTTTTTAAGCACACACTCAAGTCGCTTTTGTGGCCCTGTTCAGATCAAGCATCTCGCTGGATATTGTCTAGGAGGCACTTCACACTTGACATAAAAGGAGCCGAAAATGTGAATTGAGTGGTGACTTATTATTAGATTTTTCCTTCTATACTTACATCTGCTGTTATCCATGGGCAACCTTAAATGAAACTTTAAAATACAAATTACATTTTCACCTTGATCATAGAGCTAGAGAAGGTGGTGGACATTTTGTAGCAGATTCTTACTGTAAAATAATATGCGAGCCTTTTGGCAAATCAATTGTGCTTGGAAGGGTCATGCTATAGTAAACTTTGAATACTTCAGAAGTCCTTCACAGGAGTTCTTCATACACTTATGTTCCAACACCACATACTGTACGGTATGAAGAGGTGCTCCTGAGTTTAAACAAATATGTATTTAAAGTAACATGTAGCTAGTTGCATGTAATGGCATTGTGTATTTAAATGTAGTTGTGTTTGGGTTATAAGTGAACATATCTTGGTTAAAAAGCTTATATATCGAAGTTAACACTGACTGGTGTGTGTGTGTGTGTGTGTGTGTGTGTGTGTGTGTGTGTGTGTGTGTGTGTGTGTGTGTGTGTGTGTGTGTGTGTGTGTGTGTGTGTGTGAGAGAGAGAGAATTAATGTGTGTGCATGCATATGATTTTGTAAGCATGACATGTCTATCACTTGTATGTGCCAGAGGACGCACAATTAATGTGTAAAATCAAATGTTCCCACTTGCACCTACGCATCAAGACTACACACACACACACACACACACTCAAACACACACAGTGATGTGACTATGACTGCCAGCAATGTTGGCACTCTGCCAGGCTACAGTCACCACTTTGAGTAATTTGAATATTTAGTGTCCCATTGAGCTCTTAATTGGAGTCAATTTCACCAGCCTTGGCACGTTTGGTGCTTTAATTAATGGCGAAGCAATTTGTTTCTGCCAGGCTATCACGGGACAATCACATGAGTGGTGGGTGTGTGGAGCCCGTGAAGGTGGGTTGAGTACTTCCTCTTTGGGAACTTGAACTGAATCTTCAGCTTGTGTTCCTAGCCTGAGATGCCAACCATTTAAAACTGTGGATAGGGTTCGTAACACAATAGTAAAGGGGGAAAAAAGGTCAAAATACATATCAGACTGTACTTGAATACCTTTTGGGTGTCAGCCAGCTCAAGCTCTACGCGTGTCACTTCCTTTTTCAGATGAATCGCTTCCTGTTCCAGCTGACTGCGATCGATCACGTGTGTATGGTGGGACGCGAGAAGACTTTTCTTCAGACAGACTTTTTCCTGGGCTCTTTGGGGAGAAGAGCAAAGAATGACTGCCTTGTAAGGAATGCAAAGCAGCAGTGAAAGAGCAACATGTCTGCAATAAGACAAAATGTAACCAGATAACAGATTAGCTAAATTAAAAGAAAATGATTTGACTAGATTATGTTAAATTGTCCATGTGACATATAGTGTGCTACTGTGCACCATTTGGCAAGCAGACTGTTAAGAGAATGAGAGAGGGGAGGGGGAGGGGGAGGCAGATGGGAAGGGCATGAGAGGAGAGACAAGGACAGGAAGGGAGATCAGCAGAGGAGAATGAGAGTTTTATAGACTCAGTTATTACTGTCTCTCCAGCTCTGACTTCATCTGAAGAATAGCCTTTTCACACCGCGCAAGGCTCTCAACCTGCTCCGTGCAGCGCTGTAAAACACAAAGAATGAAACAAGTGGTTGCTGGAATATTCATTTTCTTTCATGTAAATCTGAAACTCACTTCATGTCAAACTCTGTATTCATATGTATCTACATGAGACAAAGGGCATTTCATATCCAACTACTTATAAAATATGCACCTCTGTAATGCACAGTAAAATGTGTGACCTCACCTTCTGTAGCTGCTGGTGGTGTTTTAGTTGGTGAACGTACTCCTCTTCCGAATGGGAATGACTCTGTTGGAAAAGCTTTAGGTCACACTCCAACATCAGTTTCTATGAAAAAGTGAAGGTGGGGGGAAATGAGAAAAATAACAGAAAAGAAAAAACGACTTAAAATCAAACAATGTCAATAAAACTAAAGAAGTCCAAACAGCTAAAAAAGTAAAATGGCTAAATATATGACACAATAAAAACTGATGGCTAACAGGGGAACAAAACTGTTGAAAATGAACACCAACAAATTATTATGATAAAAGAATATATGTGATTGAAATGACTTGTCTGGCCTATAATATAAACAATAACAAAAGTATTGCAAATTCAAATCAACAAAATAATCAAACTAATAGTAAAAACAATCACAAATAATCTAAAACAACAATAACCAGGCAGATTATAGTCAATCAAACACTAACAATGCAATCGACAAAAGGAAAACAAAAACTAATTTAAAAAAGAAACAAAGGTGACACCTAAAAAAATCTAAGTCACAAAAGAGTGCATTTGTAATGAACTGCATTTCAACAGATTATATGCATCTGGGTTCACTAATAAACAACAATGACACTGATGTGCCTCTAAGGAAACACATCATTATGTATAACACTCATTTGTGAATGGATTTGTTGCATCGCAGAGCACAGAGACACATGGCCTTGATGTTCCCAACACAGCTGACAAACTCCAACAGAGCAAGCATAACATTAACAAGTGGCTCTAGTGTGAGAATCTACAATAAGAAAAGCAGCTTAAGATCTTAGCAATGTTCTTTTTATCACAAAAGAATATCTCCTCGGGGAAAAAAGACCTTGTATCTCATTGTGATTTCTGAATGTACCACTAAACTCAATCTTAGTCTATTAACTACTGTCCTTTATATAAGCACTTTATGTAACTAATTCAAAAGTAGACATTTTAATAGGAAAGTAGAGAAATTCCACTTTCCTATAGTATTCATCCAGACGCTATAGTGAAATATCCCCTGGTCTGAATACAAATGGATAGAAAAGAGATGGCATTAAGATACTATATTCTAGCTACTGAGTAATTCCATTTGTGCTCAAACAAAACAAGCCATCAATTGAACATTGATTTTATAGATTTTTTATTTTTTCAATAAAACTCTTTCTTGTAAACAGGGAACAGTGATTTTAGGGTTAGCTGAGCCCAAAGAGACACGAGGTAGAGAATTGGCAGGATGTGAAGCTCCATAAGAACTCCTAACCTCATGATAGGCGCCTCACAATCAAAGTCATTAGCCAGTGTAATAAAGGGCCTGAGATACAGCCATTCTTCAACAGCCTAACTCTTTTATAACCAACAGATTAAAGTTGATTGGATTAAAATGACATTCTGCCCGTCTGACCTTGGCGGCAGCAGTTAAGTTCATCCAAATTAAATTTCTCCGTAATAAAGATGATTCATTTGTTGCCTGACGTAGTAAATATAAAACAGAAAGAAAAGGGAGAAAAGATTAAGTGACACACGTCAGTGCACAAACGCACACTTGAGTGCAATGACACATGCACACAAAGGCCCATGCATGTCCTCACACAACATGATGGAGCTGGCAAGCCCCTGGAGGCTCACACAAGAACACAGAGACCCCCGTTTGGACCTCACCAAAAAACTGGTACACATTATCAAAATCCTCACAGGAAAACTACTTCCTTCAAGAAAACACTAACAACCCGATGTTGAAAAAGATCATTTAAGGTATAAAATGTAACAATTAACTTGTATGCACCAAAAACACTCTAATATAAATTGACCAGTTTTTACAGTGTAGTATGATTGTTTCTGAAGAACCTTGAAATTGGCAGAATTTCATAAATCATAACTTGCTTTATAGGAACATCATTTACAAGATTTGACATCCTGCTGGAATGAAGAAGGCCCATGAACTCATCAGGGAAATGTTTACACCGATATTAAATCAAGTTAGAAGTAGGGTAATTATTTCATAGACTTCTATACAATTTCTTTTCAGACCATAACTATGTATGTTTTTAAGATTTAGACAATTAAATAGCCATCAAATCACTATTAAAGTCTTTCAACCTCCATACCAAAAGAGTACATTGCCTGTACATTTGCCTGTGTTATTGTTCTGTCTTACATATGCTACTGTAATGTGCACGTTTATCTCACCTGCTGTTTGAGTGCGTCTTTTTGCTCCTGCAGGGATCCAATCAGGCCTTTTAGATGGTCCTCTTTTTGTTGTCTCTCCCTCAGTAGATGCTGATTGTCCTGGAGCTCATCCGTCAGCTGGTCCAGAGCCTCCTGCGAGTTCTCCCATTGGTTGACCTTCTCCTGGTACCGCTGCTCCATCTCGGCTAGCTCCTCTCTCACTGAATCAGTTGCCAATTTGGAATCTCTTAGCTGCCAATTAAACAAAGTGAACGGCAGAATGTTACACTGGACTGAAGACATGTTACACAAAGATGGTAGTCTATGTATGAATAGGTATAACTGGATGAAATGTTTATAGAGGATCAAAATGCAACATAAGTAATATCATGTATTACTGTGAACTATGATCTACCTGGTGCTGTGAGTACTGTAGTTCCTCTTCCAAATGCTCCACCTGCCCTTGCACCCGATGCACCTTCTCCATTGCTGCAGTGTACTTTTGTCTAAAAATGGCTGCCGTTTCTTTCTGCTCCTGGGCTTGTAAACTGGCATCTTTCAGCTCCTCCTTGGCTCCTCTCAGCTGCTCATGAAGAAGTTCAGTCTCAACCTCTTGCTTCTTCAGCTTCCCTTCGAATGTCTCGACCTGGAAGCAAACACAGGGAAATGAAGCACAAATGTTTATGAGAATAAACCTTTGCGCTTATATTTTAAAAAGGAGACCAGCATCTTGACTCCCTTCATGTATAGGTGCTCTTGAGAGAATGTACTGAACAGCTGCCAAATGTGGAGTTACTGATCATTTGTGTTGCAATGAAAAAAAAGGCAGTAGGACGCTTTAATGCTTGCACAAATCAGGAGGCTAAATCCATCATCATCATAATCCAAACATGTTGATTTATTGTGATTAAATGCAGCTGAAAAATAAGTAAATAGGTGAATGCTAGTTTGTCTAACATGGGGCAATATTCTGTGCTACCCGACAGTAACCTCGCTCATAATGACAGGGAAACCGAGGAAGTGAAACCAGGCTTAATCCCGGTGTTACACAAGGAATCCTACCGTAGCTCACCTTGAAGGGGGAGAGGTTGAGAAAGTTAAACCCGCTCTAACACTCATCTTGAGTTCATCCACGTTAATCCCGCTGTAATCTGGATCAGAACATCAGGGGTTTACTACTAATGACAGCCAACTAGTTAGATTTCAGCGGTTCACCGCGGCTCGGTTTAACCAGGGATTAGCCGGGCCCATCCAGGACTAACGCTGGGTGGAAAGCAGCGTGACTGGGTAGGAAAGTTGCTCATGCAAAAGAAAGAGACACAAACCAGAGAAGAGGATGGAGGGGCACAGCCAACTTTTACTCTCCACTTCAGAGTGAAAAACTGAAGAACCTGTGTAGGTGTACGAGCGTGTGTTTAAAACTCTTGACTCAGCCCATGTACACTCGACTTTTTTCAAGTGTGTTGGCGAATGTTTTAACCAAGGTTACCCAAGGTAAATGTAAAATAACACAAGAGAATTTCAGGTAAGGGGTCATATGCCAACTTTACCCATCATAGCCGTTGCTTTTCGTGGCGTTTCATTCCCTTTTAAGTATTCTCTACTAAAGTTCAAACACTGCTGGCAGATTTAGCATTTAATTTCTGTTGCTGGATGAAAGGCCTCGTAACAAGGCTTAATGGGAACACCATGGCTTTCTTGTGACCATAATCAGGAGCTTGTGCTTTGTAGAAACAAACAGCCTTCATTAAATATGATGGAAAACACATCGCTTTGACCCTCATTTGGCCTGCCATTTGAGCATTCATGGCTGTCACATGACTACCCAAGATGACCCACGTTTCATAATAACTCCATTCTCCTCTCTTTTTTTATATCTCAGTCTTTCTTCCTCTCTCTGTATGTATGTTGTGTCCAATTGGATGTGATAGGTTGACAAACAGAGGGCTCATGTTGTCTTGTTTGGTAGTTCAGATGATGTACGTTGGGATATATGTGAGCTGACTGCAAAACAAAGCTTGTCTGCTGTAAACGGGTCAGTTTGTTGTTCTTGGAATGGCAAAGGACGACTGGATTGTCTACCGTGATTTAGATCACTCGCAGTCAGACACATAAGTGTATGCGATTGTTCTTTTTTTGTTGGATTAACACCATGGATTGTTTTGCTGTAGGATCATGGCTCCATTGATTGACAAGTGAA